TAAAGTTTTGCATAGAAAAGATTTGTAAATCGTGTGCCTTCAGCAGAGTAAAATGCCCGTTACAATCAGAGATTCTTAATATTAAATTATTTCTTTTATAATTGCCACAAAAAAAACCCTTTTCGGCTACTGGGCCATTCAGGCATTTCACTGTAAACACTGAACAAATACATGTGTTTTAAGGGAGTTCTGTATTCACCTTAGAACTTCGGCAAGTTCTATTCCTATCCGCAGTTTTGCTTAACACTATTTTACTCCTAAAAACTTCTCACAGCTGTTAGAAGCACATTATATATTCTATCAGGTTTCTATCAGGGATTCTCACCCCATTCAGCTGCAGCTCCCACTGCCCTGGTTCCAGCCAGGAAGCCGCCGGACAGAGTCACGGCCATCAGCCGCAACTGGTGCATGAGCCATGTCTGCTCTGCTTTTGATTTCTAGGACACGGCATTTTAAAGAGTGCCTGAAAGCAGGGCCCTTTGGCATCAGATTATAAATATTTTCACAGAAAGGTAGGTATGTGTCTGTGCAATTTTGGAGATGTTTATAGTACAGCTGTCTGTTCTCTTGCAAAGAGCTTTAAGTGAGAAACTGCAGCATAAGGTTTAATGATGATAATGCAACAGCGAGGGGCAAATTTCAGCCTTTGCACAACTACTGCATTCAAGGTAACGTTGAGTTGAAAGACCTGAAGCACAATGGAGTCCCTCCTGCTTCTATCGCACAGCAACTTCCTACCTCAAAGAAATCACAATATAAACAGACCACAGAAGCTGTTATAATTTCAATTTATAGGTAGCCTGTCGTCCCATATTTGTAATGAATGACTCGTGCAGTTGGCTCTAGCAAGGTGTGTGCTCACACCCGTCATGACAACCGCTCTGTTTCATACTTCCGCTGGCCTAGGCCAGGTTTCTTCACGTGAGGACATCAAAGATGGCACATGGACAGATTTGGAAAGCCACACAGTGAAGCAAGTGTATCATACTCCCTCGAACAGTAGCTGCCACCACAGTATGAATGAGGAGCCTCATGCAGAGGTCTCCTACAGAAGCAAGATATTACTGAGCATCTTCACTCCTGCCAAGTTTTTTCCATGACTCTTCTAATTTGGGATAGAGAAATGCAGTCTGGGGTAGCACCTCAAAGGGTTGCTGAGCCAGGCCTAAGCCAAGATACCCTCATCTTTCCACAACCAGCCTGGCACTAATCTGTAAAGCAGAATAAATGCCCCTGAACTATACTCATATGTAACTGGTTTACCTGGTCCTTCCTCATAGCTTCCTGCGCGGTGTGACGCACTGCAGTGCATGGCCCCAAGAATTGCTTCTGCTATGCTCTGCATGACTCCCAAGGTTCCTCAGCTGCTTTACATCTTCTGCAGCCATTTTTGCACCAGAGTAATATGTTAATAAAACAACAACAGGGTTGAGGATGGTTACATACGCTTTGCACTGTCTGCAATGGTAATGTGCACATTTGGGGATCTGTGTCCTCTAATTCAATGCAGTGGGAGAGCTGCCTGGGTTTCTGCAGCCTGCCCTGCTAGGAAAACATCATGGCATCACACTAGCTAGGAACTGAAAAGTTGCTGTGTGCACAAAACAATTGTAGTTGTTGCAACTAGGTCAGGTAAGAACATCAAGCTGCCTACAAACACATGATTATAGACAGGCCTTTGAACTCTGACTTCTGTGGCTTTTTAGAGGTACAGGCGGAGTCCTTGGCCATAAAGTACGTGCTTTGTCACTTCACAGCCTGTGTCCAGGGATCTGTGCTTGGCTAAACACAGAAGCCTTGTGTACGTATATGGGAGCAGAGTTATGGCACCGCACAGCTATAAGGGAAAAAGATCAGGATTGTCTGGACTTCCTCTCAGCAAGATATTTGTTTTGCAACATGAATACCCATAATTTGAATGCTAGCATACTGATGTCTGAGTTGTCCCCAGGTGCTCAACTCTGCACACTCATGGGAGTAGGAAAGAAAGATTCAGAACTTTGCGGAACAAGCCAAAAAAAAAAAATCTCTTAAGTTTGCAGTGGAGACTTTTGATGGTGCCAACAGCTAGGAATGCCATTTCATCTTAAATCAAGGCTGCCGTATGAGAGGCAACAGAATCTGGGAATTAGGGCTATGCTTTTCATGGGTTTTGTATTACTCTGTTTTTAACAAGCTGAGAGGAGCTTGGCGTGAAGCCACTGTCCAAAACAATGTAGGGAAGCATATGTGGTTTGAGAATTACTCAATATCATTTGAGCTGTCAGTTTTTCCTGTCTTTCAATCCAAAAGGTATGAGGGTTCCAGGACTCAGTTTCCTCTGCAGTAAGCAACTCTACACAGTAATGTTCACTAAAATCCTTTACCACTGGAGTTTACACATGAAATACTGTGGCTTCCCCCTAGAAACTGCTTGGAAGGAATAAGAATTTAAATGAAAAATTGAAAAGAAGATTAGAAGAACTTATGGGAATACATTAGAGATAATTTAATATTAATACTCCTATTAGCCATTGTATCATTGCTAAAATTTAGCAGCCAGGAGCAGCAGAATTTGCAGGAGCCACCTTGCTGTTACTGCACATCCAGAAACCACACAATGCCCAGCAGCAAAAGTTAGAGCTGTTCACATGTTAACAAATTTCGCCCAGACCATAGGATCTGTACACAAAGGATCCATCATTTAAATCCAAGTTTTGCCCTAAAATAGTGACTGAATGGTGTATATACACAGTCCTGGCCACTCATCTAAAATTTCACCCGCAGCTCTTCACACTGGGCAATTTGTGTCATGGGATAATCCACCAGACGAGGGCATGAAGCCTTGTGATGTGTATTGCTGGTACCGTTAAATGCTTCTGCTTTCAGTGGAATCCTAGCTCACACCTCTGTATTGATATTACTGCATCAAACTCTATGGCTGATCTACAGAGACTATAACTAAGTTGATTTTTTTTCCCAAGTGCTAACTGTATCTAAGCCTACAATTTTCCTGGCTCTTCAGAACAAAGTGAATACATTCCTCCATTCTTCACTATTTCAGTAAAGGACTACAAAAACATGAAAAAATAATATATTTTTTTACTGGGATTTAGTTCTGGTGGATTAGAAAGGGACTGACGCAGAAATAATGGACGGACACCATGTTACGTTAGTGCAGACAGTATCAACTTCAGCAAAGTGAAGAGTAATAAAACGTTTTCTTTGAAGCTTCGTTCATTCTAAAGACATTTGAAAATAATGAAACTGCCTGCATGTAACCTGTTGAAATATGGCAGATTAATTTCACTTACTAGCAAGCAATAAATATATAAGAAGTGCTAAGCTAGGACATTTAAATTTCTACAGAATTTCAGAAAACAAGCACAAATAATTTGCTAGAATTGGCTACAAAACTAGGAATTAGCTTATACATTGAAATTTCTCTGCTTTTGGCATTGCTGGGTAGCATATCTATTTGAAAATGCTTGAAAGCAATAACATACATGTTGCTTTTTGTTTAGAACAACAGAATTACTGGAGGCATTAGTCAGGCTGTCTATTTTAAGAACTCTGGAACAGAAAAAAGTAAAAAGAAGATCGAAGGCTGTTGCTTAACTGTACCTTTCTCCTCTCTACTGAAATCCCAACTCCCCAACACTTGTAATTCAGGGATTGCTGGTATACTTCCATCTCTTCCCCCAGCCTGGGTCCTGGAATTCCGATTGAAGGGGGGGAGTATCATACTGCTGGAGAGAGCTTGGCTCTGCTATTTTCTGGGCTGAGCATGAGATACCTGATACTGGCTCTTCATGCAGAAGTTTGTCAGAGTTCTTTGCAGAGGAAAAATCTTTATTCCTCTTCAAGAGCAAACTTCTTTCCTGAAACGTACACAAACATTATTGTAAACCAAGGGTGGCCAATCTATTGAGCCAGTCAAGCACAGTTCCCATGCCAAGGCAACATCATGCAAGCAGTGAGAGGGCCAGCTGGCATGGGAGCACAGGGTAGTCCAAATCCCCAGCTGCTGAGGAAATGAGCTAGCAGGGACTGCTGAAGCTGACATCACTGACCTGCCATGGGTCCCATCTGCACACCCAGCCCAGCCTCATCTTAGAGCAGGCTCCTGGGGAACCTTTGTCGCCTCCTGCCTGGTAGCTGCTCCCAATCCCCACCCCCCAACATCCATTAAAGGGAGATTGGTGAATATATACTGTCAGTCACCTTCATTCTTTGAAGTTTTTTTCTATGGGGGAGAGAGTCTGGAAGGTCAATATCCTTGCATTAGACTACTCTGTACAATGCCAAGATAAAAGAGTTAAACAAGTTGTTCCATGAGCAGCAGAACTCAAGAACCCTGTTTCCCTGCAGATTTGGATAGGTTTTTGCCTTCATTCTGGCCTCATTCAGCTATAGGACCCCAGCCTGGCAGTATGCATAGGATGATTAGCCAAGGCTGGGTTCTTTCCTTAGGTGGGGCAATCACTGGAATCTTCTACTCAACAAGGGCTTTTTCTGGAACTTGCAACCGTCTGCCCTATTCAAACTTGGCTGAGACAGCCAGTGAGCTTAAAAATTATTGCAGAGTACTGACAGAAAGAGCACGTGCATAAACTTCAGTTCTTCAGGAAACCAAGCTAGCACTGTCCTTCACTTCCCCCCATCAGCCCCAAGGGAGCTGGTGCAGTAACCTCTGGAAGTAAAAAACTTGGAGCTTTTGCTCTGCCCTGGCAAGGTCCTTGCTCTGTCAGAGAAATGGAAACAATTTAAAATGCAATGAAGTCATTCCCTGCTGCAAAACTCAGCTGGATGCCTTGCCAGCCTGCACACAAAGATGCCTTTCCCCGAACAGGAACACAGGACTCAGAGAAACAAATTGGATTATCGATCCATTGCAAAAAGGCAAGTACTTGTGAAAAACTGGACAATTCAAAAGAGCACCTGCTCTGCCCTATTTCCTCAGCCACAGGACAAAGTTTAAGTTACTGACAGGATAATTTAACAACATGAAGGCATAAATGTTAAGCTAAATATTCTACCTTCTGCTGTTCAGCTAGTGGTTCTTCAGCAAGCTCTTCTGCAGTAGGTTCTGACTCATCTGGCTTTCGATGCTTGTCCAAAGCAGCTAGCACAGCATCATGAAGAGTTAGAAAGAATCTTTCTTTGGTGACACAGATGTCAAAGAAATCATTCTTCTCAAAGTCTGCTATCACAGAAGCTATATAAAATGGGGGAAAATAAATAAAGCAGCAAAACCACACCAAGCAGTATGGCTAAAACATTTCACTTAAGTTTAAAACTTATCCTTGGAGATAAGTCAGTATTAGTAAACAAATACTATACTCACAGTGACAGCCAGCTATAAGGACTGTAATGCCAATATTGTGAAACATATGGATGATCTGTGGAAAGAATTCCATACAGGCATTAGAGCAATTCTGTTTTATACAAGTGCACTGGAAGGTAAAACATAAACAGGGAAATAAAACCTCCCTTGTAGTGTTTTATCTCTGAAGAAAACCCTTATTGTGGCATCTCAAATCCTGTTTTTTAGTTCAGCACTAAACAGCCAAGTTATCAAAGATCTTAATGAATGCTGACTCCAGAAGCAGGGCAGGTCACAGCCAGACCCCATGCTGGTCCTCCTACAGTTCATGACACAGCACACAGTGCTATTTCTTCACTTAAACTAAAAGTTCTCACAGGAACAGACTAACTTGAAACATCTCTCCATACGCAGATGCCATGGCACATGTAAATGAGAACATGAACCTGTATTTTCAAGCATGACCTGTAATTCTTGTTGTCTCAATTTTAATGTCCAACATTTTTAGTTATATCAATTTAGTATTAAAGGAATCAGATTTTAGAGGGGATAGATTCTCACAATTTTCTCAATGCCTGACCCTTTGTAATTAAAAGATCTCAAGAGTAGTTAATTTTTTTTTTAAAGGCAATGAAACTCATTATTTCAGAGAACCACAGAATTTGAGAATACGGGGCTGGAAGGAATCTGGAAAGACTTTGACTTTACCCCCCTTTCCCAATGGGAAGGTCATTCAATGGGTGGCAAATAAATCTTCAAGGATTTTAGGGACATTGGCTCAGTCCACAATTTTTCTTAATAGGTGTTAGTCTAACCTGTTATTAAACAAAATTCTTTTGAAGTTGAGCTACAGAGTTTGAGGAAGCTGTCTAAGAATCCATCTGGAACTGTATCTTTCTGAGAAGCACGGCTACATGAAATTTATTTTTGCTAAATATATATCTCCATTGGCTAGGATCCCCACTTGGAGACTTAAAAGTTCAAGGCATATTTCAGAGAAAAGGCTAATTAGGCAGTCAGCAATAACAACAAAATCACTCTAGGAGAAGACAGCTGGCAGTTTTATATCTGATACTTCTAAAGAAGAGTATTTTTTTAAAGTGTCCAGCTAGAAGAAAAAATAAATAGCCAAAATGGAAAAAAACAAATTAGACATTTTTATAAATGTGGTTTTAGTTTACATGATTCTAGAACTGGTGACAATGGATGACAGGTTTTTGCATGTCTTTTGTATGGATAGTGGGGCTTTTGTTTTTTTAAAAAAAGTGCGTTTATGGGAATTTATTAATTTCTGAAACTCAATAGCTAAATCTTGCACCCTTAAAGGTCAATTGAGAGCTGTGCGGAGTGTTATGTAGCAGGGCGTTTTAGGCTAACAAGAAACATAAGACATTAGGTAAACTTTAGGCTTCACATTTATGTGCAGTTAGGTTGCTTACCTGTCGCAGTAACTCTGAGCCTATCAAATCCACAAATTGCACCATGCTGAAGTCTAAAATAATGGTGTGAACTGGACATGGCAAATACTTCGGCTGTTCTTCCTGATCTAACTGTACTGAGGAATTATCTATTGCAGCGCCTTGTGAAAGGCAAGCTCTTCTCCCTTCATCCTCGTTCTTTTCAGTCCTAAGTCCCATGTTAAAGCCTGGGGATGCACACTGAGCATCGGCTGCTCCCACCAACAGCGTCCTAGAGCTGAGTTTGTCTCCATACTTTGACCAATGTACCAGATTAACTGAAGATGCCGAGGAATTGCTGCCTGCATGACGTTGCTTCACTAGTTTCTCTGTATATGGTATCTAAGATGGAAAATGGAGAGTACACCAGTGGTTGGAAGATTTGGGCCCAGGAAGTGGAAAATTTATTGCTGCAAGTAAGACAGCACTGTAAATCATATGATATTTTTTCTCTCATGGTAAAAAACACATCTGAAATAACACTAAATATAGCACAAAGCCACAAGAGTATGCAAAGTAGCAGGTGACTTAGGCAAGCCTCAGATGTGGTTAGCAGAGTGCCTTCAGCCACCAAATAGTACAGTGACACCTCATGCTTCCACACCTTGAAATGGCCTGTGATACTGGAATCTGACTTTTTACTTCTACCTTTCAGAAAAGAAAAGAAGAAAAAAAAGATTGCCCACAGCCATTGCCTTTCTGAGCAACAGTAAGCTGACCCTTATTGGCTGAGTTCTGCAGACCTTTGATTCATCTACTTGCTTGTATGGCAGCTGGTCACAGAATGGACCCATTTAATTAATTTTTCTTTCTTAATAGTTCCAAATGTGTTTTTTAATTTTTATAACACAAGAAAGGAAAAGTCACTCTGCATTTTTGTACTTCAGAAGACAATGTTAAATTATCTATCACTTCCACTTCCTGAGCACCTTGGTGCCATGTTTTTTCCAAACCACTGTCTTTCAACCCATTTCTCATACAATGGCTTTTACAAATCACATATAACTGGTTGAAAAATACCTTCTGAAGATAGTCCATTCCCTGAAGTTCCTTTCATTGTCTAAGACAATTCAGAAAATTCAGATAAAGAGGGATATGAGTGACTCTAGAAGATGCACAGTGGCCAATTATAGTAAAGATGAGAAATACTCTAATCATGATAATCATAGCTGCCTTTGAGGTATTTTGTACTTGTACTTGGCAGTATTGGCAGTGAAACAAATTCCTCATAAGCAAGGAAATTCTCTCAATTCTATGAGGAAAAAGAAGAAAATCCCTACTGAAGCACCTGACAGAATTAATTCTTTCAGCTGAGGAGAGGATATGTTGAATACTTCAACTGCTAGTTAATTCACCCAGTAAGCTGAGCTACTATTGCTCTATCACATAAAGTATGTGTAAAGAAATACAGCGGTAATGTTTGCTTATTTTCATACAGCAAATATATATATATATACACACACACTTTATATAAACATTTACAGCCTTTTCAGCACTGGCAAGTTAAGAACATTGTCCTCAGTAACATGAAACCAGGCACCTCAAACAAGCAGACTAGATAAATATACTTTTTAAGCTGACCCTAGGTGGTGGTAGAGGTGGATCACAGATGCAAGAGCATTTAAGATCTTTTCTTTCCACTGCAGTGTCAGACAGACTAAGTGAAATTAAAGCCCTCATTTCACTTTCATCTAGAGGCACTGCTTTCATGTCCATCTGAAAAAGACAGGCAGTTTTATTAGAGTTTTTATCTCCCTAATACAGGAGATAATTTCCACTGACTGAAAAAGCGGCATTTACCTTGTGTAACAAATAGGTTTTGAAGTGATTCATGTTTGCGAAAGAGATGGAAGAACAGCACTGGAAGATTTTGATACCTTCAATCTCCCTTGCCTGTAAAACCAAAGTTGTATCTGTGAGGGTTGTATCTAGCAGAAGCTATTTTTCTCCTCCTGACTGTGTTGTAGTCTGCAAGGTCCTACCCTACACTGCATACTGGTAGTGGCATTTAGTGGACCTAATTACCATAAATTAATCTGGTTCTCTTGCAATTAAAAACATACCTCCAGCAGATCTATCACAGATGACAGCTGGCTGCTCTAATATAAAATAAACCAAATTATTTTTAATGCTCATTACAGAAAACATACACTACACTTTTGTCTTACTAACATCGTCCTTACATTGTTCCATTTTTTGCAAATCCTTCAGCATGGCATTGGTAATGCACCCATGCGGCAAAGGCAAAGCTCTCTACTACTGTATTGTCTAATTCTGTATGGTGCAGGTCTTGAAAATAACGTGTTAAAAAGGCCCGTGCTCTACCTATTATCCCATCACCAGGAGAACCTGTGAGTCAGTCTAGCACATGCACAGTCATTATTGTGAAAACAATGTACGTAGAGTGGACAAAACCAGACTGAGAAAAGCAGGTCAGTGAAAAACGCCAAACAGCTCTGAAATGACAGCGGTGCAGCTTCCACTGTGGAGACAGCACAGATGGACACAAGGAGCTCCACAGGCCCAAGCAGACTGAGCTAGGTATCTGAATCACTTGACACTACAGATACTTCAGCATTCTTCAGTTTTCAAAGTTTTAAATCAAATGAACTGAGTCTGAATGGTCACCCCCAGATATTTAAGGGAAGAAGCTGGATTACAGAGAGAGATGGAACATTTGTTTTTTGTTTCCTCTTACGGCTCTGTAGATGGATAAACTTCTATAAATATTCATGTTTGGAATCTGTCCCAGCACCACCATCTTCATTCTGAAACAAGATGTTTATTAGGTTTTCACAGAGAACAGAGAAAAAACATCTGTTCCCAAAAGCTTGATCTCCATTTCTCTCCTCTTCACTGGATACACCAACTCTAACTTAGAGAGTGCGAGCGCAAAAAGTTATTCACTCATAATTAGGGTTCTTTGAGTAGGGGCGCAGTACACAAACACAGCCTTCATCTACACTGGTGTCCTCGAGAATGTATAATGTCCCATTGCTAGCTCTGGAACATTTGGATTATTGTTATTACGCTAGGAAGTATGTTCCCTCTCTGTCTCCTCACAGCTCTCCTCAATGATACATCTACACAGACAGGTGGAGACAGCTGTAACTTGTGCTTAGAGCTGGCTGCACATAGGCTAGGTCTGATCCAGAGGTAGTGCAGCAGCATTAATGCAGGGTTTCGCCTTGAAGGAGAATATCCTGTTTTGGGTACTGTGCTTTGCTAATGGTGCTGCATGGTTTTGGGGCAGGTTCTGGTCAGTTCAGGGCATGGATGGAATAAACATGTGGCTGGCTGGCTGGTTGCTGGCCCTGATGTATGGAAAATTGTCGTCAACACACTCTATTCAAAGCAATCTGCTTGCAGGTAACTTCCCAAGCTTTTTTGAGTGTTGTTAGCATAATGCTCTCACCTGCAAGAAACTGATAAGCGGTTATATACCCTGAAGGTAGTATGAATAACAGGGATACTTAACCGAACAGTGTCTGCAGAAATGCCCTTTCACAATGCTCATTAATTCCCAAGGCAAACCCAAGAGGATAACTCTAAGCAGACGTAATACAGCAAGTTTCAGACAGCAATTGAAATTCTTCCTGAAGGTATTCTTTCAGAGCCAGTCTGGACCAGATCACAAGCAGTTTGATATTTGCAGCAACTGAGGTATTTCCTACCTCTTTCCATGTTATTCTGGAGGGTTCAGTCTACTCAGACAAGCACCTCCCTAACATGGTACATCTCATGAGGTGTGGCTTGGATTTATGAATGATTTTCCTGTTTGGATTAGCAGCTAATAAACTAAGTAATGTGTGCCTGATGTAACCTCCCTCCCCTATCACAAACTGAGTTTACAGAGAAGATAAAGCAACTTGGTAAAAGGCAGTGAAGACAGAGGAATGCATTTGAAATAAAGGCACAACATCTCATTTTATCCCTACAGAAGTGTGTATACAGATCACTTCTCCTGGCTGATGCCTACACCACAATAAGCAGTCTTCAATAGCATGGTACACCTGCAGAAGGGACCAATCCAGAGCCCATAAACTCAAAGAGATTACTGGTTTGGGGTAGCATTAGAGAGACTCCAGAATGACCTGACTGAAGTGTTTACAAACATGAAACAGCTTTTTCATTGTCACGTGTATAACTATCTCTAAAACATCAACTCTAAGAAAAACTAGTATTTTGTTTAAAAGTTACAAGTACCTGTGTGACCTAATGGTGATGATGAAGAACGTAAATCCCATGGCGATCACTAAACCGACATCAAGACCAAAACAAAGCACCACAGCAAAAGTTACAAGCCAAATAACCTTTGAACAAGAGACAGAGAGAACATGAGCAGTAAGAAGATGCAAAATGACCTCCAACTCAGCCCCAGCATTTGCGAATTGCAAACAAACAAACAAAAAAGGCTAGAAAAGGTAATATGTGAAAAGCTTTGTTGGCACATCTAGACCAACCCAGTCCTGGAAGTAGTTGCAAACAAGAATCACAACTCACAGTTCAAATATCCAGACTTTTTAACAGGGCTCCAGTTATTAGCAAAAAACACATCATATTGGGGGTCTTTCTCTTTATGAGAAATCCTGCACAAGAGTTGGCATGAGAATGTGGCCCCAGCTGGCAGCTAGACAATTTTCTTCTCAGAGGATGTGGGAAGTGACAACAATAACCAGTTTTCCCTGTATAGAATTAATTCCAAATTGATTTGAAGAGATTTCAATACACTTCTTTCAGCGGATATTTCAAAGGATCCTTTTTCTAAGGGAATGGCCACTGCTTTGCCTTGCCCTCCCGAAACATCCATTTCTCCCTTTAAGACACATTCCAAAACCTAGATGGCTTTTTTTGTCACTTACAAAATGATACTTATCCCGTCTCCACAGGATGGGGATGTCCAGAATTTTTTCAAGAAAAGGGAGCACGTTAAATACCACAATAGCAGCCAGTATACCCTGTGCAAATCAGAAAAATAGCATCTATTATTTTGTTATTTTTTGTTTGCAACCACAAACATGCTGAGGAACAGATATCCATGACAGACAAACTGCTTAAAATTAAAATCTTAGAATAGCTTTATTTCCATAATTTTTATAGACATGTATAACAGTTCTCCTCTGATCCGCAAACCAACATGAAACTAGCATATAACTTCTTGTTGGATCTCACAATGAGTTCTGCCAATACGACTGGACTTGCTTTTGAAATGCTATGTGTAGTTTCTATTGCAGTGTTCTTCAGTGAATCCCTATGCCTCCTGCAGCACTAGGAGAAAGGCCAACACTATCTACAGAATTAAGAGTTGCTGTTTCAAAGAATGGTTTCAATTAGCATGGGTAGTTTATTGGAAGATTTAGGAAGTTATTTGACACCATTTGTTGAAACAGCCTTTCTTAGCAAAGAAAAGGAGACTGAAGGGAAGTAGATGGTTAAATTCTGTTTTGTCAGCTAGTTTTGGGAAAGGGATTAATTCTCCCATCTTACAAAGAGGCCAGGAAAAAATCAGGAAGTGATGCTCTGTCAGTGGTTCCCTAAGAAAACTTACAGGGAAAAAAAAAAAAAGTCTAGATAAAAATTTAAGGGAAAAGTGGAAAACCAAGTACTCTGAATAATCTGTGACAACAAAATGTTTATGTTTATTGCACTGGCAATGCAAAATCCACAGAAGGCAGTCTAAGAGTCCATATGGTTTTAAAATAAACCTCAAAGACCAAGCTACAATCAGAGACACTAAACCCAAATTTCCATTTGGAAGATTTTATTTACCTCTCTACACTAAAGATTTTGAAGCACCCATCTTGGAACTACTTATACTGATGCAAGAGAAAAACTCATTAATTTGTTATACAGGTGTGCAAAAGCTTGGAAGATGTGAAACCAAAAGTGAAATACAATGTTTAAATTACAGAGGCTGGCAGTGAAATTTCAATCCAGTTTTAGCCAAGGAGTTTTAGCTTGTACTGATCAGTGAGAGATGGGAGAGAGATGCAATATTTATTATCTAATATGTTAGCCTGCTGAAATTTACGGGTTTAAAGTAATTATTTTGGTTTGGTCCATCCCTGAAAACAATTAACTTTAGCGCATAATGTAATCCCTAACTGTCCCAGAAAAATCTTCATATTATGCTTAGAAAGTAAGTAGACTGCTGCCATAACTATTTCAGGTTCGCTTACATTAGGTATCATCTGGAAAAAGTGTCCTAGTTTCAGTGCAATCACCAGCATCGTAGATGCTCCAATCGCTGCTGCTAACTGAACAGAAATACTTTATTAGAGAGGCCTGACAGAACCATTTCCTTACTTGTCCTCTCTAAACAAGTAGGTATAGTCCATGTAACACCACCGACTTGGAAAAATAACCAGGGGACAATTAACAAAGGCCACAGGTATGCTGCAATGCATGGTACAAACTCTAGAATACTCAAGCTGCAAGCGTTTTCTGTAGATATAAATTTTTCCTAAATGGACTGTTCTTAGGCACAACAGAACAATGCAGGATTTTGGTTTGATAATTTCACCTGAGTAATAAGATACTTCTCTTGCAAGTCAGACTTTGGAATAAACTCTTTATTAAACAAAATTATTTCTATCATGCAGTGAAGTGTGCACAGACATTCAGTTAAGAGGTATGATAAAACCATTATTACATATTATCATTACATATTACACCTTCTTTCTCCCCTAAAAAAAAAAAGATCACAAAGTCAAATACTCAAAAGTTAGGAAGAAGTGGCAGAATTAAGGGTTTGTGAACAATTTTCCATTTGGCTTTTTGGGTATATTCACTAAAATACAGTTTTAAACTGCATTAACATATCCTATTCTCCCCACAGGATCCTGGCTTCCTTCATGGCACATCATGTGCTGTAAATATCATATAAGTATAGTACATAATATAACATACACAGAGAGGGTATCTGAATTCATGTTGCATGGGTATATATCTCACAAACTGTTAAGATTAAATGTCAGCCTATACTCAGTAGACAGTGATTTCAGATGAGAGTTTGGAAGCTTAGCAAATCCAGCCCAGCTCACCTGTGTTCTTCCACCTGTCTTCTCTTGAATGACAGTTCCAGAAATAGCACAGCTGACAACAAAGCTTTTGAAAAATGAGCTGCAAATATTGCATAGCCCCACAGCTATTAGCTCCTGTAAAACAGAAACAGAAGAAAGCAGAGAAAACCCCAAACAAATTACTTACCTTCATAGAAGTAGCTTATCAGAAGTCCTTTCCTTTTGTTCATACTTGCTGGTTGGTCATCTGTGTTGCTAAGCTCAGGAAATCTTCTGGAAAGCAAGGTCTCCCATGGTTAAATGAGCTTTCTTAAAAGGCATACAGTTTTCACAGCTGAGGATGTCATGGACCCAAAAATTCAGTTCCTTCTTTCAAAGAAATCCACTTAGAACCCCAAAGCTACAAAGCACTGACTTTCACGCTAACATGTGGCAAATCTCAGTACGCAGCATAGTACACCTGGACAAAAGCTGAGTGGAAAAGGCGTTCCCTTTATATTTATCCCCAGAGGCTTTGAGAAGTCAGGGCAGCTTCCTTACTGGCTTAGTTCCATTCTAGTAAAGATCCAAAGCCATCACAACAAGCTAAACATGGAGTAGTGCAAAACGCCTAATACTTACTAACTCTAGCACACTGGAAACTAACACAGTTTTAGCTTAAAAGCCTCTCAGCAATCACTCTGGGCAGAGAATACATACACTGGGATAGTAGCCACATATAGAGTACTACAGCTGCTCTGGCCATTTACAATTTCAGCTATTAATTTATCATGCTTTTATAGTCTCATGAATTCATGGCAGCAACGGTCCTCAGGGATCAGTTGCAGCACCATGTGTGTGTGAGGTTCATCCCAATCACTGGGAATATACAAAGGCCTCTTGGTCAAAGAAGGCCATGTTTTGGTCTTCACATTATTGGCTTATAACATCCACTTTCCATAGGGAAGGGTAACAGGTTGCTACAAAACCATCATCGGGCATATTCACTCCGTCCTTGCATTTCCACCACTGTCAGGTAGTTAGTGGCTTTGCAAGTAGAGTTCAGCTTTCTTCTTGGCCTAGGAAGTATGTGTAGTTTTGTTCTCACCTGATTGCTGGCAATATTGTAGTTGTGAAGTGACGCATACCTCTCCCCAACAAAAACAAGAAGGAAACAGCTTACAATAGCAAGGGAGAAGGCATGCAGTATGATCTTGCTCAGGTTTGATAAATCTGGTGGTGTAGGAGGCAGAAACCTACAGGATCAAAGAACAGAATAATTTTAGATCTGTTCTGAGCTCTGTCCACAGCAACTCCAAACCCAGGATCATCATCAGAGGCATCCAGCACACCACAGGAGATGCTCTCAATCTGGAAGACTTCCACCTCTCAAAAAATGCAAATTTCTTCCTCTTTGTGCTAATAAAACCTGAATCTAATAAAGAAAACTGTAGTTTGAATTCTGCATACGCTCGGAATTAAATTGCAATTAATGCAATTAAAATTCTCGAAGAGTTATTCCTCTAGCTGTACTTCCCAGTAAAAGTCAGCTCATGTCAGATTTCAAGAACAGGCTGAAACATCTCTTTTGTATCTCAAAAGTACAACCTCATAAACAGCATACTGACCTCTGAGGAATCATACTGACCACAGCACTACTAGATTCAGCGTGAAGATGAATGCGATTAGAAATAATGGTGACTGTGATAATCTGGGAAAGAAAACAAGAAACAATACTAGAGATTATGTAGCATTTGCTTCTGAAACTGTACACAATCCATCTAAAGACAGCTAATCTTGTAGGATTATTTAAAGGACTTCAGCACAGATTCAGTGTGTAAATATAACAGCATCTTGAAGTAATATGTGAAATGTTTTTTAAAATAAAGTATATTATACTCTCTGTTAGTTCAGTTATCACAATGGCATTCTGAAAATCACTTACCAAGAGCAGTTCCATAGGAAATGCAATAGGCCTATGTTTATAAGTTATCATGACAGATGTATTGAGTCGTAGTGTGGCCATGCTGAGCAAAAATAGCAATATGCTGGTGGCATTAGCCTTTGGGAGAGTCAGGAAGAAATGAAATAGATTCTGAAAAAGAATCATCATAGAGAGGATCAGAGGCAGATACTACAACTATTTTTATATTCCAGGAGATTGACATAGGTTACCCTGACACTTGAACTCATCCTTTCTGCTATGGTGGTATTTTCAGTTAGAAGAAGAGAGATGCTAAGAGCAAAACAGTATTAAAAAAATCTATCTCATCTATTGGTATCTGCAGAGAAAACACTGCCACAAATAGCTCAGATCTAGTACCGTCATTCTTCTCTCTTCTACACTACCTTTCTCTCAAGTTGTCTGATTGACATTATTAAAGTAAATTAGGATGAATTAGCTTTAACATGTCTTTAGCTTGGAGTCTGCTGCTTCTTTGTCAGGTATGATAAAGATACTGTGTGCCCAATAGCTTGCCCATGATGATCTATTGAGGAAAAAAGTACCTTTTCCTCTACCCTTTACTCTACTACAATTATAGACATGCCGAAAATATATTATAGAGCTACATAAATAATTAAAAATATGCACACAGACTTTTCTTCTTGCATGTCACACAATAAGCTCCATACACTGTTCAAGACAACAGGAAGGCGAAGTAAACCACAGCTGAAACTTGCACAAATATCCCTTAGCAACTGACTTAGATTGAAATTACCCTCAATTTCTGAAGCTGTTCTTTTCTTTTCCCTCCAAGAAGCATGCATTTCTTCAGCTAATAATGAATTTACTCACATAGAAAATGTCCAGGGGGCCTTTATGGAAGTCAAGCATGACGTCAAAAATAAAGGTAAACTGTGATACAATGACATGCAATGCTGCCGCAGTGAGGTAAGCATCAATGAGAGTCTTCGGCACATATGTTGTTACAAACCCCAGGCAAAAGCAGCCTAGCAGCAACTGTATGGAACAAAAGAGAAGTGAGATGTGATATAATTATCAATGTCTAAACCTGTGCTTCTTGTTTTCATATTTGAAGAGCATGACTCTTCACTGCCACACATGATGGACAGTTATTTGAACACGCTATTTTCATTATGCACAATTAAGTAAGACACTGCCAAACCAAAATAGGAGCACTTTACATCAAGTGTGTGCAGTTATGCAGGATTACCTAAGGGTCAACATATTGCAGAACCAGTCAACATAAAAGATAATAATTTACTTCACACATATTCATCATGGACACATAAATCTTAACCTATCATATCTTTTTCAGACAGCATGAGACGAAGAGACAGACGTTCATGTCCCACTTTGCACAACATACGTAATCAAATGTGCTGAGCTTAGTATTTGTGGTAAGAATATGCAAGCAGTACTAATTCTTACATTTGTACAAAGAATGCACATAAGGATACATCATTAAGGATATAAAATAGATTCATCTTCTACCTGAATGATGCCAGTCAAAAATGTTATTGATGTGGTAAGTGTCAAGGCCTCCATGTAATCTTTAATAAATGTAGGGTCTGAGAAGTTGTCCAGTGAACCATTAGAGGACAATGTTTGGTTGAAATTAAGAGTCTTCAGAATGTTTGTCACCACCACATTTAGGATGCTGAATGAGCCTGGAACCAACAGAACAGAGAACAGAAAATGGAACTGCATGAGATGTTGCAACAAAGACTTATCTTAAAACCACACATCCATCTCTTCTCTCTACCATCAGCCTGTGCAGTATGAGACAGTCTATTGTCATTCATATATATAATCCACATATATAATCAATTTTTACTGTTTCTAAGTACCTAAAGTTTCCAAAGTCCTGTCTGAAAATTTCAGATTCCTGCCATTTTATGAGTGAAGTCTTCAGCTGGTTAGATGATTTTAATGTAAAGCACAAAAAATGGATGCATTACAATGAGCTGCCAGAAGGCTGAAAAACATAGTCAGTCAGAGAAAGAACTGCCAACTTACCTAAGAGGCTAGAGCTCCACATACCCACTCATGATAATATGAAGGGCCTTCTCACATGTAAACAGCATTTTAACAATCTAGCTTCTGAACAAATTAAGAATGTAAACCCATGAACAGTTCAGTCATGGCAAGAAACTGCACGTAGAAGACCACGGAGCAGACCAGGAGCCAAATCATGATTCATAGTAACATCCTGAGGGTAAATGTGAAGCACTTGCACTGGTCCTTTACTTTATGTAGAAGACGCCTCCATAACACTCCAGCTGTCTCCTTTGCACTGGTGTCTATGATAGCTTATGTCCTCGGGGGTACAAAGGACCTCGCAGCTGAAATGTGACTGACTCAGTGAAATTCTCACCATAGATCAGCTGCAGAAGTGGAACAACAACGAACGGGGAATCTGGGGGTCTGGATTCTCACCTAAACAATGTTTGCATATTAGACGAAATAGATTAGGATATCTCAACAGTTTTTTGAAGCAGCATTGAACATAATCTCTAAGTCCTGTAGAAAGATTTCACAATACAAAATAAACCTCACCAATAGAGATATGATGCGAAGTCCCAAATATAACATATGTCATCGAGCAGCAGAACGCAGAAAGGAAGCCATTGATATTTGGCAGAGGTAACCTGGTGAGCCAAACTCCTAAAAGTCCTGGAAAGCAAACATATGTTTCTAAAGTCCAGCAAATTGGGAAGGCTCTCTATCTTTGGTTACTATTTTAAAGTAAAATTTTGCTGATGAAAACCTGCCAACCCTTATGAAAATCCCATTGTATTTTTTCACAGAATCACCACACACAGGTAGCACATGCGCTGGTCTTGCTTATGCTACCTGCCGCTTTCCAGTTTGGGTCTAAACATGCCAAATCAGTGAGCAAGATGGCCATTCAACTCCCACAGTCTGTTTTTTAGAGAATTTAAGACCTGATAAAGCCAGGCCAGTTAGTGACAAAAGCCAATGTTGTTTTACAACATGGGCCCCTGCTACGAAGAAATTAGACAAAGAACCAGAACTACTCTGCGTTTAGGCCACCTACTAGTGGCGTGGCTACGCATGTGGGTACCTAACAAACCTGATTGTGCAAGGTGGATTTTAAAGACCATGTTAGTTTGTTTGCAATACAGGAAAATATTTGAGTTAGTTTGAGGGAAACTCTATGAAAAAAGTAGTGTCCCGTCCTTGAAATTGCACCATGTAACATCTGATGATAGAAAAGAAGTTCTCCTGCAAATATGCAAATAAACAGGAAATGATTTAAGGAACTTCCAAGGTTAAAGTTCCTACATAACCTGATGACATTAGAAAGAACAGAAACACACGCAGAAGATAGATTATGAAAAGCATGATATACGAAAGGAAGCTAGAGTGTTTTTTTCTCGCTGCCTACCTTGAGGAATCTGAAACATCCCAACACTTAGGCCTGCAAGTAGATCCCTCAAGATCCATTCTCTGAACCGATATGAAAACAGCCAGTTCAGGACAGGGAACATCTTGAGTGTGATCTTCCTGAACCTTCCCCAGGAGAAGCTGAAAAGAATCAGATAAGCTAAGCTATATGCAATAGCTTTTACAATCTCTCTCTCTGCAGCGCTTTTGCACGGCCTCATGCTCTGCAGGCACAGAAGCCACACTGCTATGGTTAGCTCTCTGCAGGCACCATATACTTTGAACCCACACAGGCGTTAGCCTTCCACAGATCCAGCTGGCACATAACATGAATCCTACATAGGCACCTTTGCATTCCATTCAGATGAATCACAAATACTCTGTGTGCCATTCATATGATAGCCTGTCAGCACCGGTGTCCAGAGCGCTGAATGCATCAATTACTTGACCTCAATAACACCACAGAAAAATAGGAGATGGTATTTTGATTCCTCCTATTCTGATCTAGAAGAAAAACATACAAATGCTACATCTGGGGGGAGGGGGGTGGAAATAGGCAAGCCTATCCCACTTCACAAAAAACAGTCAAATGTTTTCTGTATTACATTATTTAATAAGGGGATGCAAGCAGGACTTGACCTACATGACTTATTTTGCGTATATGTTTTTGAATCTCAGTTTCCAGTAGGTAAACACTGACTATCCCCACAGCCCTGTGCTCCTTCTTCCCCTTTTTAATCCCTGGCAATGTCAGTGATTTTCTACTTACAAACCCAATATAAGTGATGTAGTATCTGTGCAAGGCAGCCTTGAGCAGTGGCTGTGGGGACTGACCCCAGTTAACATTATAGAGTTGAAGCCCTTTCCATAATTTTATTGTCCAAGGTGACTACACACTGGGCTGACAAGTGGATACAAAATGGAGAACAGAGAAAACGCATGAGATAGGGAAGTGGAAAAGAAACAGGGAAAAAGAGTATGAGGAAGCAAGGCAGACACGGTTCTTAAATGACACATTGGGGGAGGGAATAAAGAGATTTTCTTATTAAGCATCAAGTGCAATGATAAAGTTTCCAATAATATTAGCTATGTCTTTAGAGCAAAATTCTCCCTTTGATCTCTGGGCAAGACTGTTTTTATTGCACCAGGTGTTTCTGGGTGGACAGACTGTTAACTCTAGATCACATGTCATAATTATACGCAATTCAACCCTTTCCATCAAGTAATTTTGTTTCTCTGACTCCAGAACTTCATCCAAATTCCTTCTTAATTCCTCCTTAATATATAAAAAGACAGCACTGGAATAGAAGGCTATTGCACAATCTAAAGGATCTCACTATTATAGAAATTAATCTTGATGACAAGTCTTCACGGTGTATGAAAACTAGAAAACACAATAGCAACTCAAACTATGGCTCCATTTGCCTTTACTTATTACCAGGAAATTACTTTACAGCAGCATAAGTTAGACATGACCCATAGTTTTAGGCTGCAGTCCCACACATAGCTGAGCTGATATAAGAGCTAGTTATACAGAAAGAGAGAGGTCTGGCACCCCTACTGTCCTTTCCCTGTGTGGCCCTGTCCCTTCTGGCAGCAGCAAGCTGCTAGAATAGCTCACCACACCTTGTGGAACCTCACCCATAGATAGACTTGAGTCTCAAGTCCTGCCACGGTCTCAAAACAACAGTTTAAGTTTCAGTATACGTTCAGTGTACATGCTAAAACAAAGCCCAGATAAATTATGAATCAGAGATTTACTTTTAATCCCTGGCAATGTTAGTGATTTTCTACTTACAAACCCAATATAAGTGTAGTGTCACTACATTTACTTTCTTAGGAGGACTTTGTAGAGTAGACACAGCCATAAGCATTGACAGTCCACTCCGCATTCAAAAAGAGATTCAGAAAGAAAACTGAGAGTATTCATAGTCAAACAAAACTAAAAGGGAAGCTGATGAACGGGCTTCCTATTTTTTTTATTATATTTGCCTTGCTGGAAGAACATCAGCAATTCTCCTATGCTGCCAACAAAGACTGCCTTCTGGTCAGCCTGCAGCCCGCAGGGCTTCTCTGGCAGAAGAGATGCTTCTACTCCCAGTATAATGCCCAAAAGAGAATTTTGGCAGATGGGAAAATGAGGCTGTAGAAGCATTAATGCTTTATCAGTACCCTAGCCTCATCCGTTCTCCTCAAAGAACACAGGAACATAGCTCCAAAATAATGCCAAAGCGGTTCGGTCAATCTCAGTCATACCATTATGTAACTTTCCATGTCTCCAGCTAAGAGGGAACAGAAAAAGGCTCTTGAAATTTAAGAAATAAAAGTATCAAAAGGCATAAATCAGAAAAAAGCAAATGAAAGCTTCTGTCTGACAGCTGGACTGAAGGAAGCACTGGAGGGAACTACAACTATTGGCAGTTTCTCTTTACAGTGCATTTATCCCTCACACTATCATAGTCCTGCAGTGAGTAGACACTTTTGCAGATTTTAAATAGCAACTTTGGTAGTGCAGTGCTAAGCTTGCGCACTCCAGGTGCAAGCTGCTGTAACTGGGTGTTCTGCTTTGGTTATCAATCAGTGCAGTTCAGCATTTTAATTACCAGCTGTGGAAAAGTTAGTACCTTTTTTACACTTGGGCTTGAAGAGTCTCCTTAGTTTCTTTACACGTGATAAATTCCTGGCATAGAACTCACCTGCACTGTAGCCGTCTCTTCTCTTCAGGGATTTGTAGTGCTCCACCCAAGGTGGAAGACAATTTTCTTTCAAAGTATGCCTGGAAGTGCTCCTCAGTCTGCATTTCTCTTTGGACCCTGTAAGCTGCTGGTTGCCTGTAAGTACCAACAGTATCGTTGTCTAGTGCCATATTTTCCTTCTGATCACAGTCAGTCAAAAACAGAGGAACAGCAAATGCACGAGGCCACAATGAACGTTCTCTTTCCTGGGAGTGAGACTGAAAGAAACAGGGTCATTGACTAAGAATCTACTAAAACCAAAATTAAAAGTGGGATACATGATCAGTCCATCCCAACGTAACTCCTGTGAAGCCAGTAGTTACAGCAGGGATAAGCAAGGCTCTGGAGACTGAAATCCATGAAAGACATGCTGCTCTTAGGATCAGACAAATCGACTGCCAAATCAGTTGTAGGAACACTGGGTCCTTCTGGAACTTGCCTTGTTCCTATTCTGTAGGAAAAATCAGCCTGAATCCCCTCCGTTTTGTGATCCCAAAAGCAGGCCCATGTTACAATCCCTCTCTATAAACCTACCACAGCTGAGGAAACCGTTGGAATTCTCCTTGTTTCCAAACCTGGAGGAAAAAGGATTAGTCTGAATCATACAGAGAGCAGCTAAATCTGAGGCTGTACAAATGCTTCAACTTGCTGTATAAAACCATTCGGGTTTTTAAATCCCCCAAATGTCTGACTCCCATTCCTTAGAATTTTAATATCAGGAAGGAGATCTGAATTCAATCACTATCACTCAGAGTAGGTAAGATGTTACTTCCCAAAGTCAATACTGAGTAAGTAAAGGTCCAGTGCAAGAGCAGATCTAAGACAAAGTTCTCATACCAACAGCTGAGGTAGAAAAAAAATTCAAATCCAGAGCTACCAAGTGAAAGTACATTTAAGAAGGGTCGTGACACATAGGAACATATTTTTTTGCTATGGGCAGAACAAAGAAAGAAAAGAGGAAATATAAAAAGGCTGTGAGTGAACAGTTGAGAGTCTATTGAGAATGCAATCTAAGTTTAAAGTATCAAAATCTGAAGAAAAAAATCATTGGGATTTAAGTTTTCTCCTCATATTTCATTTCCTGAACCACCAGGATCAGTTTGTACAGGTCTAGTGCTTTGTACCACTGAGATACGCTACTTCTGATACAGCAGCAGGGATTCCAGCACAGTATTTACTGTCTTCTGAGACATATCTACCAACATGTACACACGCTCCAGTCATTCTAAACCACAGAAAGAGCTTGTAGTAGGCATGTCTCAAACACACTCCATCCCTAGGGCACAGTTTCTCCCTCTTTTTGCAGAGAAGATAAATCAAGGTCTTCCACAGATAAGTTTATGAGCTATTTTGTTCATTAGCTTTTCAAACCCGGTACAAGTTTTTGAAGACTTAGCTGTTTGTGACATCTTTGAGCACAATCACCTTTTCAAGGCAAAATAATACAACAAGAAAAACTAAGAAGCAGCTAAAGTTTGCAAACTAAAGACATTAAAAACCCCAGCACACCAAGAAGTAGTTACTTTTTAGATGTAAGCAGTGGTAACTTTCAGCTGTTCACTCCTGTTATTTGGACTTGAGTGATGACTCACAGCAGCAGAGGACAGGGTCACACTCTTTTACACTGTGTAGAGAAAAAGAAGGGTTTTGACATGGGAAGCCAAATGTTTTAAAAGCAGGCTTCCATATTCCATTCAGAATGTGTTGGTCTTGCACAGTACTGCTAACGAGAGTCATCTTCCTCAAGCTTGAGATCAAAAGGTAAGTGGCCTTAAACACAAATCCCTACCACTATTTATTTGCTGTGACATTCTGTACTTACTGTCTGGCGAAGACACCCTGGGGCTTCACTCCAAAACATGCTTAACCTGTAGCACTTAGTGACTTCATTGAGTCTTAGGCACGTACTTGAAAGCAAGCACATACATATCTTTGATACTACAAGGCCTATTACAGTATTGAAAAATAGTTTATTTTCCAAACACACAAAGATCAGGACACTGGGAATTCTGGGCGGAGAGATCAGCTTCCCCCATCACCGCTGGCTTGAAGCCCCTGGAAGGGAACAAAGTGTCCTTAGGAAGTTTACAAGAGCAATTAGTATTGGCTTGTAAGACTCCAGAAGCTCTAGAGCTACACTTAGCCTGACATACACGGTGGCAGACTGACAGGTTACCCTGGGACTGCATAAGTGCTGCCTTAGTTAAGTTTTTTCATCCATTTCCCTTTTCTTTTTTTTACATAAAAGCACACCCTAAGGTGGACTGTGCAGGAAAGCCAAGTAAGCCTCGTGAAAAGGCTAAAGAGGGGCAGCACCTCCCGAATTTTAGCTCGCCGCAGAACGTTTATAACGGTGCCCTCCAAGCCGT